CGGCCCTGCACTGGCCGGAGGGGCGGTGAGGCCAGTGACAGACCGTTCTGCCGCCCCGCTCTGCGCGCTGCTGTTTAACAAACGGCTCCGAGTCCTCATTTTCTGCCCAGCTCCTTCCGCAGGTACCATTTGTACTCATTACTGGGTATCGGGAAAGTTATTAAAAACACTCAGACGGGGCGAGAGTTCCGACGGCGGCGGCGCTGGCCTTTAATTGGTCTTTATCTAGTTCTTTGAACGATCGCCTTAAGCCCAGCGAGAGTCCCAGCCCTGGAGACAGTGCCGGTGGAAGGACAGGGAGCAAGTGCATCCCTGGTGGGAGGCCTCACCCCGCCCGCGTCCGCACCGTCTCGGCGACCCGCTGACTCCGTCAGGAGACCCTGTATGCCGCCTCTGACGGGCACAGCTACCCAACGACAGCATAACAGCGTTTCGTAACATAAGGGTTAAATCTTAATCTCTGAGGTTTGCAAAGCTGCTACTCGCAGTCTCCTTAAAATTTAATATACCTCGTTAATGCTTCCTTGCAAACACTGAAGGATTTTTATGATTATAATCATGTGTTACAGCACCTAGCACTGTTTCTAAGCAGCATACTAATCAGCTTAATGAGATATTACTGCACTTTTTGTTGACGAAAGCAAAATCCCTTTTATTGTTCCAAAGCCTGTCCGTTACTTTATTTCCCCCCAAAACATTATCTTGTTTTATTATGTATCAGTAAATATCATGCCATGGGGTGTTTCTTTCTTTTTTCTTCTTTCTTTTTTTTTTGACCAAAACATAAAATAACCCCTTTCATCTCAGAGTGGCGAATGCATTGGCCGTGGGAACCCGAGTTCCCAGCGAGTGGGACAGCCGTTCTGCTCCGAGGCCAACTTTGAACGGAGCCAACAGGTGTGGGTGTCCCAAGGTGGGGGCGGGGGCGGGGGGGAGACTTTCCCACGCTGACAGCCCCCCACCCCATCTGTGATCAGGTGCTGAAAGTGGTAAAACGTGAATAATTTAACCGCGAATGAGTAATTGCAGTCGGCAAATAGAAAATACAAGGGAAGATGATCCATCGCCCAAACAAATGGGAGGACCAAAGCCATGTTGCATAATTGGCATTTAATAATTCATCTTTTTATTATTGTTTTCGACTCTCATTCCCGAGCATGACGATGTGAGGTGAGGCAGGGAAACGCAAATGCCCGGCGGTGGCTGCCCCCCACTTCCCCGCTCCACCCGCGCCCACCCCCGCGCCGGGTTCTGCACGCCCCATCTGAACTCTCTCTCCCTTTCCAGGGATGGAAGAAGCCAGCCTGTGCCTTGGAGTGTCCA